TGCGATAAGGAACTATATCAGAAACAAGAATGAATGTGGGAGATTTTGGTCGGGATTGAGTCTCCCTTTGTGGGAGATGTTTTTCAGGGTTGAATGATTCTTCACAAGCTGGGGCAAGTAATTGATGTTCGCTGTCTTTTATTTCAATGAAATAATCATAAACCTACAAGCTAATAAATAGACTCAAACGTAATGAAATTATAACGAAATCATAATAAGACTGTATATGGAATAAATAAATAACTAACTCACCCCGGTGGCTGTCAGCCTCTTAAAGGCTAGTTGTATCTTAATCAAATTTCACTTTACATTAACTGACCACCTCAGCATTCTTGGTCTAATCTCATGAACTGCTGGGATGACTAAGAAAGTATGTTCATAAAACCACAGTTGCATGAAACATGATACAATAATTTAATGCAATACCTAAAATTATGAATATTAATTTTCATGACTTATATGAATAATGCAAACCGTTAGAAGGAATACAAAACCAGTAATGTATCCCAACGGTTGATCTTTCTTTATTTTTGTGGCACAGATATTGAGTTGTTTGGTTAGAAAATTACATACAGTTGTTGGTCAGTTATAAGCTGTAAATGACTCGACATCCTTACAAAAACACGATAACTTTTTGACATTCTGAAGTTACTTGAAGAAAAAAAAAATTGACATTAAAAAACTTCATTAATAATTGTGAAAGGGTATTCGAGGACTCCCCTGGTGAATAGTTTAGTAGTGCGGTCTTTAACTATCGCGCATCCATACTAGCTGGCGGGGCATTACTCCAGTATGCAGGGAAACCTTTATTTGGCATGTCAATCAGGAGTGCAACCTCGTCAGCATAAAATTTAAGTTCTTTCCCTCCGAGGTGGAATGTCATTCGATCAATATTTCAACAATTTATTATGTGCATTGTCAAAATATGATCTTGAGGGTGCGGTGGGAGTTCAAAAAATTGAGCTAAATTCAGTGCTTCCAATTTACTCCATATTTCTTTGTCCACTGATGGTCAAACCTTATCGAGGACTTTTTGTACTCCAGATAGACAACATCTGCAGTTCATTGATTTTGCGCTAAATAACCTACATTAATACATCATAATTGGTTAAGATCAAATTAAAATCCAAATGATGATAGTAATATGAATTTAAAAATTAAACCTAAAACATAACCAAGCTTTATAAATTTGAAAAGCTTTACAAATTTGAAATGAAACCCTAAAAATTACCTTGATTCAATATCTTTCTTCTTCTTTGACTCATTCTTCTCCTTACGACTGCCCTTGACCATTTGCGGTGCCTCCTCGCATTCAGGTTTCTTGTCCTCTCCTAACTCCGCGACATTGGTCTTTACCAAATTAGTCTTCGTGGTCTCGGCGCTTACCTCTTTCATTTTAGTGTTCCTTCGCCTAAGCAATCCACACTCTACTGTGAAAGAAAGGCGACGACGGAAAACCATAGCACACGCAAATTCGGGTTTCTACCTTTTACCAAGGTTATAAAACTCGATTT